TTGCCGTTTCAAGAACTCCGCCGGATCCTCGACTCGAATCTTCCCATCCGGCGTCATGTGCTCATCAACATTTGCGCTCGGGAAATCCGTCATGACGGTTGCCGTAGCAAATAATCAGAACTCTAAAAAAAATCGAAAACACTCAGAAAAAAGGCATCCACTGAACAAGTTATCCATTTATCGTATAACGACGCACAATGGACGAGAGGAAATCACTACTACGGCATAAATGCTCGCTCAGAAATCACAACGCTCAATATTGCGCGAAATTTATGATACTCAGAACAAGACCAGACGTCGAGCACCTGGTAAGTTACCATCACGAAACATGAGGAGATCACGACCACAATGAAGATTATGAAAGTTTTTGTGAATCACAAAAAAATAATGTAAAGAAAAGATGACCATGCAAAGAATAGTGAGCTGGACCACCTCCTCAGTCACATATATACATAATACTTGTACACAGGACAATGCTCTATACCTAGCACTTGTACATGGGACGATGCTCCCTACCTACCTCACAGGGACAAGCTCCATACGCCAATTCAAAAGAGCGAAAGCCTCTCTGAGGCAGAAAAAAACACCACATAATTATGTGATCACATATTGATGCTCTCAGACACCTAACAAAACGAACCGAGTTAGAGGATTAATATTCGATAGGTTTTGATCTATTTACTCTGCTCGTGCACATTTTTTTCGATCTTTTCAGATGCCTATGGAGCCTTACAAAACTTCCTGAACGAAACTGCGGCACTTTGTAAGATGCGGGGCATCCTCGTAAACTAAGCTCAAGAAGAAGACAGGGAACTACGGTCAAAAGGAAGATTGCTTGCGCAACTCTGGAGTCTCTCACAACCCCCGAGGTTTCATCCCACTAACCACAGAAAATGTGATGTTCGATGCTTTTTCATACCCGTCGACGACGCAGTGGCCGATGTCAGACTTTGCGATTGGAGCGATTTTGCACCAATTGCAGGAGCGACGGATCGCTTGAGCGATGCGAGCGACGGGAGATTTACACCGCCGATACCGATACACACGGCGCCGCTCGGGTAAATCTCCCGTCGCTCGCATCGCTTGAGCGATCCGTCGCTCCTGCAATTGGTGCAAAATCGCTCCAATCGCAAAGTCTGACATCGGCCAGTGGCCCCATGGCTTGCAACAGCGCCACAACTGGAATATAGAAACTTAGTAAGCCATGAAATTAGAAATAGTAGAATAAAGGGGACGTAGCCCGCAAACATCACAAGAACGCTAGGATAAGTTTGGATTCAACATCTTCTTATTTTATTGACTACGCTTTTCCCAGGAGTTTTACAAAATATTGTGGTTCGTGACACGTTACGCTGCAGTTTCTGACGTGACTTTTTTACGTCAGCAGATCAAATTAAATTCGGAATTCAGTTGTTTATTAGATTTAGTTGTTGGTTTAGATTTAGATCCAGCGCTTTTCAGCAGCTAACATAGCAAAACATGTAAACAGTTGTAAAACCTGGAAAACAGCAGTTAACAAAACGAAACAAGTCAAAGGTTACAACTCAGCTTCCTTACGATAGCCCGTAGCTCCTTTCTAGGCTTTCAACTCAAACTTTTTGGATTTCTTTTTTTATTTGATTTGTTGTTAAGAGTCTGAACTGTTCAGAGGATGTGCAGGTTTCGATATGATTTCTTCTGCTGACAGCAGCTGAACAAAAAACTGCATGTAAGAGGTCTTGAAGTGTTTCCTTTTTGTCAATAGCAGCACGAAACTTTGCAAGCAGCATGCCTCCCCCGCCAACACTTTACCTCTTTCGGTCCTGAATATTTCTCAGTGGTACTGAAGATGAAACAGGTGAGCATGCTAATTGTATACATATTTAATTTGCAGTGTCAAATTGCCTACTTTGGTGACATCGTCAGGGGGCTGGCATAGTGTCGCAATTTCCAGGATATTATCTGTACCATCGAAACGGTTCTGCGATCATTTTAAATTGTTTTTAATTTGAAGGAATGCGTATGCATTCGATCCCATCATCATGCCAATTATAGGACCTATCTTTGGATGGCAAGGAAGGTCGAGCGCATTTCGATGAGATGAATATTTTGGCCACTTATCACCCTACAGATAAAGATTACGGCAGTATGAAGGTTAGTCGACTTAATATTGGCATTCAAGACTTTGTTCACTGTCGTCTTCTCATTGCAGATTGATGAGCCTAAGACTCCGTATAATTACTCCGACTGTGAATCAGAGGGTGACGAAGTAAGTTGCTTCGAATGGTTTATGGCTTGGAGCGGCTGGTTTCATTTAACGAAAGGATGTGCTTTCAGGCCTCTTCTGCTCAGGCTAGTCGGCCTCGTCGAGTGTCACTCGGCGGTGCGATAGATCCAGAAGAGGTAGGCAGTCTCTCCCTTCTAACCACCTTCAATTGTGGCAAATTATATTAGTTTCTAGGTGGCAGAAGGCCTCCACCATGCAGGCAGTGGATCTGTAAAATCAATTGGGTCGGGTACAGATAGCGATGATGACGAGACTCATCTCACTCCCGAACAGATAGGTTAGGTGTTAGAGTTCTTAGAAACTTTGAGTGAATGTCCCTTCATTCGGTCATTTTTTTCACTTTTTTTTCAAACTTTTTATTGCGCTTCTTTCAGTTTTTGTTTTATCCTGTGCTTTTGATCTGTGCATGGTGGTTATTTATTTCACAGAACATGCACAAGCATCCTTGATTTTCACGTACAGTTTACCTCAATATATCGTTATCAGCAAGATTGGTTCAGCCAATGAATTGTCGAGCCAGTTGATTGGTTTAGTTTGATGAAAAAAAATCAGAATATGACTCCTATGCTTGATTCAGACATAACTTTTGTTAAAAATCTAAAATACCTGCATAGTATCACTCAGCTTAGTCAGTGTATCTTTGGGACTCTAAATAAGGCATTCTACCTCACTACCTCATTTTGCCGTCTATGGCGTTTAGCAAAATGAATCCCTGCACTGTTGTCAATAGTCTTATTCTCATCTATCTGATGGAACAGTGTTTGCTGAACATTTTACAGTACTATTTTCAACCCATTGGTAAAAAAGCTACCAAAAGAACTCAAAGCAGAGTTTTTTGAGGCTTTATCCGTTCCGCTTCTGCTGATTGCTTTGAATCTATCGTAGACTTCTTCTTGGTCCAGGGAGGGAACAGGTTCGAAAACCTCTTAGGCTGGTGTCAGAGTCCGCGATCCGCCGCAGGTTTCGCTGATTTTCGCGATTTGCGCGATTTTTGCGAAACCTGCGATGGATCACAGGAGTTGGAAGTGCCCGATGAATACTGCGAGGTGTTGTTTAATCCTGCCG